CCTTCTGACCTCACAACACTCCTCCACATCAAAGGTCATGACCATCTCTAAGCAACCTAGACTCCATGATTCAACACTTAAAATGATTTTTTTTTTAACATGCTTGGCTTCCTGGCCTCTTTCATTGCATCCTCTTGGTATAATGGCAACTAGTCACCTGGGGCAAACATAACTTGTCTTCTCTCTTTCCTGTATCTTCATCCTCTCCTTCTGTATTTGCTGTACCTACTTAGATATAAACAAAAGCCCCCTCCTCAATCTGGGTTCCTCCAGCTTTACCTCTGTGTTTTGCTTCTTGGCAATCCTTCACTAGCAAGCTTCCAGAAAGATCACCTCTGGGCTGCCTCCACTTCCTAGCCTCCACTTTCTCCTTGGCCTCCTGTAATCTGACTTCCGACACCATCCTTCCACTGAAGCCTCTGTCTAGGTTACCAAGGACCTTCTAGTTGCTAAACTGCATGGACATTTTTCAGTGCACCCTCGTTAGTATCCAACCCTGTTAAACACTTTCTTCTTCTTAAGTGTTTTCTGCATGATACAACCTTCCCCTTTCTCCCTCAGATCACTCCAGCTGCTCCTCCAGTCTCCTTTGCATCCCCTCCTATTCCACCAACCATTAGTGTTAGGATTGCAGCCTCAGTCCTTACTAGCAACTTGATCGTTTTCTGGAAAAAAAAATATGGACTCCCAAATCCGTATTCTCAGCCATAGCTTTCTACTAAATGTTATCCAATGACCGGCTGAAGTCCCACAGGCACTTAAAATTTCACACGTCTCCACTCCTTATGCTTCTCTTTCCCTGCTCTAATCTATTTTACCTGTACAGGTGAACACCTGCACCAAACACCCACTTGTTCAAATCTCTTTTTTTTTTTCAGTTTTATTGAGGTATAATTGAAAAATAAAATTGTAGATATTTAAAGTGTCAATGTAATGATTTAATACAGGTAGACACTGTGGAATATTTACCACAATCAAATTAATTAATACATCCGTCACCCCACATGGTTACTTTTTATCTAAATTTTGTGTGTATGTGTGTTGAGATCACTTAAGAGCTACTCTCTCAGCAAATTTCAAGCATACAGTAGAGTATTATTAACTATAGTCATTCTGCTGTACCTTAGGTCCTCAGAACTCATTCATCTCCTAACTGAAACTTTCACCATCATCTCCCACCCCCTTTCCCCTCCCAAGTCCCTGGTAATGACCATTCTACTTTGTGTTTGTATAAATTTGACTTTTTTTTTTAGATTCCACATAAGTGATACTATATAGTATTTGTCCCTCTCTGTGTGGCTTATTTCACTTACCTTTATCTAGGTTATCACAAATTGCAGGATTTCCTTCTTTTTTATGGCTGAATAACTTTCCATTGTGTATATATATACACACCACATCTTCTTTATCTATTCGTTCATAGATGGGCATGGTTCTCCCACTTCTGGGTTTATATCTGAAGGAAATGAGAGCAGTACGTTGAAGAGATACCTGCACTCCCATGTTCACTGCAGCACGATACACAAGAGTCAACAGATGGACACTACCCAACTGCCCAGTCTTGAGTCACTTCTTCCTTACCACCCAGCATCGGGCGAAAAAGCCTTTAAAATCTATTTCGTAAATATCCAGTTCTCTCCTTTTCTCCATCCCTGCTACTGCCACACCTGTTCACTTCTCATCCTCTATTTTTTTGCTTTTCTTATAATAGTATAATTTACATACAGTATAATTTACCCTTTTAAGTGTATACATAGTTCTCTAAGTTTTGACAAATGTACATACTCATGTAACCACAACTAAAATCAAGATATGAAACCATTCCATCACTCCCCAGAAAAGCTCTCCCATGCCCATTTGTAGTCAATCTCTTTCCCAACCCCCTGCCCTTGGCAACCACTGATCTGGTCAGTGGTTCTCTCCCTATAGTTTTGCTTTTTCCAGAATGCCATAAAAACGGTGCTTTAAAGTATGTAACTTTGAATCTGACATCTTTCACTCAGCATAATAAATCTGAGATTCAACTATGTTGTTACAGGCATAACAGTCCATTCCTTTTCCTTGTGTGGATGTACCAGTTTGTTTATCCATTACCAGTTGAGGAACATTTGCTTTGTTTCCAACTCTTGGCAATTGTGAATAAAACTACAATCATTCCTGTTTCCCTTTCTGTATGAACATCAGTTTTCAATTCACTTGGGTAAACACCCAGGATTGAGATTGCTGGGTCACATGGTTAAAAAATATATATGCATATATATATATACACACACACATATATATATATATATATATATATACACACACACACACACACACAGATACATACATACACATACATATATAGGTAAATACAATTTTATATGTAAGAAAGTAGAAAACCGTTTTGCAAAATGACTGGTCCATCTTGTGTTCTCTCCTGTCATGTTTGAAAGTTCCACATGCTCTACAGCTATGCCAATTTTATTTTCTTATTTTCAGCCATACTAAAAGGTGTGTAATAGTATCTGATTGTGGTTTTAACTTGCATTCCATTAATGACCAACTATATTGAACATCTTTTCACACGTTTGCCATCCTTATAGTGGAAAGTCCCTCTTTAAATCTTTGACACTCCTCTTTTAGAAAAAATTGGTTTGTTTTCATACTTATTATTAAGTTTTAAGAGTTTTAAAGTATTCTGGATGCAAGTCCTTTATCAGGTATGTGTTTTGCAAAAATGTTCTTCCAGTTTGTGGTTTGTCATTTCATTCTCCAAGAGGTTTTTAAAGACCTTTTTATTTTGAGATAATTGTAGATTCACATGCAATTCATGGTCAGAAATAATGCAGAGAGATTATGCATCCCCTTATCCCAGTTTCTCCCACTGGTAGCATCTTCCAAAACAATATCACAATCAGGAATGGGCATTGATACAATCTGTCCATCTTACTCAATCATATTAAACTTTCACCAGTTTTATATGCACTCATGTGTGTGTGTGTGTTTTCTTCCATGAAGTTCCATTCCATGTGTAGATTTCTGTGACCAGCACCACAATCAAGATATAGAACAGTCCATCACAAGATCCTTTTATAGCCATAGCCAACTCACCCCCTCCCTGCCTCCCTAACCCCTGGCAACCACTAATCTATTCTCCATCTCTATAATTTTGTCATTTCAAGAATGTTATATAAATGGAATCATACAGCATCTAACTTCTCTGTCTGTCTTCTTCCACTCAGCATAATTCCCTGGAAATTAATCCAAGTTGTTACGTGTATCAGTGGTTTCTTCATTTTTATTGCTGAATAGTATTCCACAATTTGTTCAACCATTCAGCAGTTGAAGGATATCTGGGTTGTTTCCAGTTTGGAGCTAATATGAATAAAGCTGCAATGAACACTCATGTATAGGTTTTTGTGTGAACACAAGTTTTCATTTCTCTGGGATAAATGCCCATAAGCATAATTCCTGGATTTTATAGTAGCTGCATCTTTAGTTTTGTGAGAAAACAACAAACTCTTTTGTGGAGTGCTGTATCATTATTCAGGATATATTTTACATTATACACTATACATTCCCACCAGTAATGTATGAGTGATTCAGTTTCTCTGTATCCTTGTCAGCATTTGGTTTTGTGGCTATTTTTAATTTCAGCCATTCTGATAGGTGTGTAGTGATATCTCAAGGAGGTTTTAATGTGTATTGCCCTGCCGGATAAGGATGTGGGACATCCTGTCAAGTGCTAACACTGTCTTTTGAGGAGCCCATCTTTTCCTTTTATTATTTACTTATTTTCTAGCTTTACTGAAATATAATTGACATATAAGCTTAAGGTATACAATGTGATAACTTGATAGATACACATACTGTGAAATGATTATCATAATAAGGCTAGTTAACAACTCTAACACCTCACATAATTACTTTTTTTTCTGATGAGAACATTCAAGATTTACTCTCTTAGCAAATACATAATACTATATTGTTAAGTATAGTCACTATGCTGTATGTTAGGTCCCCAGAACTTCTAACTGGAAGTTTTTACCCTTTGGCCAATATCTCCTCATTTCCCCAACCCTCAAACCCCTGGAAACCACCATTCTACTCTCTATTTCTATGAGTTCAATACTTTTAGATTCCATATGTGTGACATGATACAGTATTTGTCTTTTTAAACGTATTTCACTAAGCATAATGCCTTCTAGTTCCAGCTATGTTATTGCAAATGGCAGGATTTCTTTCCTTATTGGCAGAATAATATTCATATATATATGTAACCACATTATAGATATAAAAGATAACATAAATATATAAAATAACATTCATACGTATCTCTCATTTTTTTAAATCCACTAGTGGACTCTTAGGTTGGTTCTCTATCTTGGCTAACATTGCAGTGAATATGGGAGTGCAAATATTTCTCTGATTTTCATTCTTTTGGAGCTATACCCAGGAGTAAGATTGATGGATCACATGTTTTACTTTTAATTTTTTAAGGAACCTCCACGCTCTTTTCCATAGTGACTATACTAACTTACATTCCCATCAACAGCCCACAAGGGAGCTCATCCTTTCATAACTTGACCGTTGCACGGGAAAGTGCTAGATGAGGTGCCCTTCCTCAGAATCCCCTGCTTACCCTGACATAACCTGTAGTTTCCTATTAAAAAATCTGTCGCCTTCGTCAGACCCTAATCTCTGAGAGGGCACAGGCAGTTTCTCTCAGCTCAGGAGCCCAAGCCAGTATACTGCTGTCACAGATGAAGTGCCATTTCGTCAATGAATGAATAATAAAAACCAGAATGTCTTCTGTGCTAAAAAGAAGTGTTGGCAGAGAGAGCGAATGGATGTAGAACAGGGCGAGGCACAGTTGGTTGTCACCCTATTAACCACTCTCTAGGCCAGCTCAGGAACGAAACCAGAGGCCCAGACCTTAGCCATGCGCATGCGCAGCCCCCGCCTCTCGGCCCCGCCCCTCAGTCCTTCCCTTCGGGCCGCCCCTCCCCGTCAGCAACCAATTAGGGAGAAGAGGCGGTCCTGGTTGGCGCAGCGCTCCTTGGGTAGTGTCTCTAGTTACTGTTGCTAAGGCTGCGGCTCACCTGAGGCAGCAGGAGTCAGAAGTTTTGGGAGCCAGGGCCTGAGAGAAGTCAAGCGAGGGTCTATAGAAGAGCCCGGGGAGATGGTGAAGCAGACGATCCAAATTTTCGCCAGGGTGAAGCCCACTGTCCGGAAGCAGCAACAAGGGGTACGGTCCGAGCAGCGCGGGCGCCGGCGCGGCGGGGCCTCCCAGGCAGGGGGAGGGGCGGCACGCGAGGGGCCTGGGCCCCTGTGAGGGGTTCGGGCGCCTGGTGCCGGATGCGGCCCGGAATCCAGCGCACTCTGTTCTAGGCTCCCAGGCAGCCTCGCAGATGACAGTCAGCGCGCTGCTGTCAGGGACGCGGACCCACTGACGCCCAATCCACTGCCCCCCAGCACAGCCATGCCGGCGCAGACCACGCTGCACCGAGCCACTTACGTGCTCCCCGGCACTCGTGTTCACGCGGGGGCAGACACGTGCACGTATGTTTGCGTGCACACGCACGTAGACTGCGCCTCAACACGCACGTAGACTGCGCCTCAACACGTACGTAGACTGCGCGTCAACACGCACGTAGACTCCAGCTCGACCGTGCACCCTTATTGCGCCTTTCTGGAAAACAGCCACGCAACTCTCCACACCCAGATACACTCAAACCTACATTTCACACGGGTAAAACGTGCAAGCAAGAGATGCGTGTCCACCACGTCTGAGGTGATACAGGTAACAGATACAGATACAGAAACACAAAGCATACATGGTGGCTCTGTACACAGTGGGCCCTTAGAACTTGTTGACTAACTATATTGTCATTCTGAACAGAAGCATGAACGTTGACATACACTCATTGCAGATATGGATAGATAATTTATACATCCTGACACAAAGAATACACATATTGTATATTCAGAAAACATTAGCTGAACATTTTCTAAGTGCTTCCTCTAGGGTGCTAGGCTCAGAAAGGTACAAAGGAGGTTAAGACATTACCCTTCCTCTGAGCTGAGACACTTTGAATGCTTCTCAAGTGTATTTGGACATTGAGGATATTAATCAAATTTAAGGATTTTATATTTTATATTTTTATTTTTATATTATTTATTTTATATTTTTATTCCAAAGCTCATGGCTCTTTAGACAAAACCTTTTTGCCTCACAAAATGAAGATATAGGCACGGGCAATCTGAGTCATGATCATGAGTCTCTGAAATGGGTATATTATTAATAATATTTTTTCTCTATCCCATATCTACACTGTGTATGTATATATGTAACATCCTGGCATCTCATAACTTAGCATTTGCCTCATATGATTTAGATATTTAAAACAGGGAGACTATAGTGTCTTGTCATCATCATTACTGTCAGGCTTTTCACCTGTGGAATACATTTAGGAAAAGCATGAAAAGACTCGAAAGAGAATATTGGCTTTTTAATTTTATTTTAAGGAATAAAGAATGTAGAAAGAAACCGTGGATATCATCCCATTTTCTGTCCTCTTACATTCACTTACAAGAAGGTTTTTAAAAATTCATCACAAATAAAAGTTACATTGTACGTAACATTTCTCCCCCCACCTCCCCTCAGATTCTTAGCTGAAAATACTGAACTTGTCTGCATTGACCTAATAGTCAGAAACAGATGCTTGGAAATGGTAATGTGAGAGGATGGGTAGAGGTGGGACTGGGAGTGGTGGTGGGTTGATGGAGAATGTTGGGTTTAATATTGAATTTCCTCTTTCCTTAAAATGCAATATTTGAATATTTATATGTGCCTCCTTTTGCATTTCTTTGGTGAGATTCTGTGGAGTGGCTTGTTTGATACTCCAGGAAGTATTTATAGGTGTCATACTGTATTTTAACAATGTCAGATTCTTACCAAGAGGCAACATGATGCCACATACACAAAAATATGAGAACACAGATGAATGAATTTTGAATTAGTGTATCACTGCTCTTCCTTAGAAATCCCACTCTTAGCACCTTGTCCTTTTGCCTTCCAAAGATTGTGTGGTTGTTTCTCTGACTAGAAATAACCCTTATAGCATTAAACCAAGGGTGGTTCAAAGGTATTTTTTTTTCCATCTTCATTTTGTAGTTCCATTACTTCATTAACCTTATTCCATAAGGCACTATAAATTAAATTATAATAGTTTATAGGTTTATAAATTGAAAGACAGAGAAGATAAGTCTGTGATAATTTTAACAATGGCAACACTTTTCATTTGTATAGTGCTTTGTGTATTTTAAAATATTTTCATCATCCTGGCATTTGACCTAATTGTCTTGTATTCTTTTAAAAAAAGACCTATTCAATATTTTTATGACTGACAGTAGAAAGCCAGTCTATTAGACTAAACAAGTTTTCTGATTTGAGACTTTTCTTAATTCCTCGAAGAATGGCTTAAAGAGAGGGGTGGAGGGTCACTGTTCCTACTCTAGTCCATAGTCCTTTTAGTCTTGTGAGTACTGAGTGTTACAGATTTTTTTAAAAATGTGTAGCACCCCTCACACCTGTATGTTTTATGTCTTACACACCTCTTTCACTCACCTGTCTAGCCATTAACCTTTTAAAAAAATAAAATAATGTAGTGCCCTATAGGATATAATTTTTAAATGTCTCTTGAGAAAACCTAGCCTGAAAGCTGTGGACCTGATGCCATTCCTTTCTACAAATAATTCGATTTTACAGCATGACTTTTCTACATAAATTCTTCACATTTTTAATGAGAGGGCTCAATAAAAATCTGCTTAGGAAAATTATTCAGACTTTCTGAAGATTTAGGTAGGCTTTTACTTATTTAAGAATATGACTTTTCCCTCGTAATCAAGCATCTAAATGGGTCTTAAACAGGAAGTATTGCCTGTTAGAAAGAATTTTATTTCTTGGTGAAAGACAAGAAGTCTTTTTTAAAAACCTCTAAATCTAATGACTAACATTTTTTATAGTGCATTACAAAATGCTTCCATTTCCATGACATCATTTCATCCCTGCAGCCATCTTGTAGTGGAGGCAATTCTGTTTTCTTCATTTTCTGTCTAAGGTCCTGAGATTCTGAAAGTTGTGGCTGGTCACACAGCTGGTAAGTTGAAATCAGTGTTGGACCCAGGGCTTTGGACACCGAACCTCACACTTTTCTTTATTCCACATGACCTCTTTATAGGCCTGACTCTTGCTTTTCCTGGCCAATAAATAAAGAAGTAGGTAACCAAAGCAAGAATCAGAGAGTATTACATTTGTAAAGGGGGTTGGTAAAGACCCTTCATTTCCATATCAGCTTAAGAAGGTTAAGTGATTTCTCCCAGGTCATTTTCTAATTAGTGGCTGAGCTGGGAGGAGACCTTGAAAATGACATCAAAGACATGAATTACATGTGTCTTTTGAAACCATATGTCTTTTATCAAATGCTTGACTATGTCTCATGGAAACTTCGGCTTCTTTGAACATAACTTGAATTAAGACATTCTTGTGAACTCTCTGAGAAGGCTCAGACCCTGTCCTTTCATCTCTGTGTCTAGCATTTTATAAATGCTCAGAAGTACTTACTGGTTGTAGTAAAATGTTAACTTCTGGTGCATAATTTCAAAGCAATACTTAGATAATATATTGTTTTCAGGGCTATTAGTTTCTCAACAGCAAAGACAGACACTCAGATGCTAAAATTTGAATATTAGATCATTCAAACAGTATCTGAGCTTTGATTAGGCATTGATTTAGGTTTTACCTCTTGTTCTGTTCCATGTATTTGTTTGAATGTGCATACAGTTTAAAGCAGAAAATTATCCAAATTATGCTATGTTACGACTTTTTATTTTAAAAGTACAGGGTTTTTTTTATATCACTACAATGCATGTCATAATAACATGGTCATAGTTCAAATTGTAATTTTAGCATTTTACATTCATTTGTTGTCTTCATGTTTGCAGATTTATTCCATAGATGAAGATGAAAAATTAACGCCTAGTTTGGAAATCATCTTACCTCGTGATTTGGCAGATGGATTTGTGAATAACAAGCGAGAAAGCTACAAATTTAAGTGAGCTTTTCTTTCTCCTTCTTCATTCTGTTTTGTTTTGTTTTTTTAACTAACTCTTATACTGCATTAATATCCACTGTGAAATCACTGGCACCATTTCTTGGGGAGAATGTAGTACCATTCTCTATCTCATCTAGTAGATAGAATGCAAATTGTCTCTTCTATGCTATGCCCAAAGTTAAAAAGGGCATATTTTTGTATCCAACATGATATCCCAAGGTCCTACCCTTACTTGACTACATCTGTTTGTCAAGTGTTGTCTTTTTCCTACTTGGCCCATGATGGTTTAGCACCTACAGGAAGTTCAGTGCATAATTAACCTTTATTAAAGATGGCAACTTAAGGAACAAACTGTGTGCCGTGCAGATGAGCCTTGTTAATAACATAAATGATATACTGACCTTATATGAACACTCTTACCTGTACTGTCCAGTGTGCCAGCCACTAGCCACATGTAGCTCGTAAGCACTTGGAAGGTAGCTGGTCTGAATTGAGACGCGTTGTAGATGTGAGATATATTAAAGACTTTTGAAGGCTTAGTATGGAAAAGAAAAGAATATAAAATATCTCAATAAGTTTTTCATGTTGATCACATATTAAAATGATTTTAATCATCCCAAATTTTGGATATATTGGGCTAAAATACATTGTTGAAATTAATTTTACCTGTTTAATTTTACTTTTTTTAAAAAATGTGGCTATTAGGAAGTTTTAAATTACACATGTACTGATATTTATGAATTGCATTATATTTCTCTCACAGAGTGCTGCACTACATGGTACCAAATAGCCACCCTCAGGTTATCATCAGTGCCTTTGGTACAGATACTCTTCTGGTAGCCAGGCCTTGAATTTGGGGATTATGGCTATTTCATACTATCTTTATTCTTCAGTATCAGATGACATAATTTCCTTTAATCTCCACTTTTGATTTCTGAAGAAGTTTGAGCTCAAGTTAAACCCATATTTAATCTCTGGCCCAAACTTAGGTAATGGGCTTGTGGGTCCTGCTGAAGGACTGCTGATTGCCCTCATGCATTCCTCTCTAGGCTGTTTTACATAGGCCTTATTTTGAGACTATTCCTGCCCCTGCTCTTTGGATAAAACCATCTTAGATTTTTGTGTGTTTGTGTTTCTCTCTCTTTCTCTCTCTTCCTCTCCACTTCTTATTTCTCCCCTCCCCACCTCATCCTCCTCATTATTATTGTTATCATTTTATCTCATAAAGATTCTCTTTGGTCTTCACAACTCTACCCTTTGTCTCTCATATATAGTCTCTCCTCCCCCTCCACCCCATCTTCTTTTGGGGTCTCCTTTTACATTAAGTACAAGTGGGATGGCTAGCACATGGTGATCCTCACGTTGTCTTTTGGCTTCTCATTGCCTTTCATTCAATCCTTTAAGGAGCAGCCTTATAATACATGCCTTGCTTTTCTGAAGCAGGCAGTCTCCCCCTGATATAACCACAATACATACCTAGGTAGCTATGACTTAATGATAGCTGGCCTTGTCCTGTCTCCATGAAGCCAGAATTTGCTAAGACATTTTATTCAGCATGATTCTGTTTGATTGCTAAGAAACAGTTGACCATGCCTCTCTCTATTGGCCCTTTCCAAAGTAGCCTGTGTATTATGTAGCTACAAACAGTGCATTTCAGCATATGTTTATTGTAGATGTGTTATTTGCTTATTGTAAATATCTTGAGATTTCTTTCTGAATCTCTGAATTAAAAATTTTGGTTTTAGTGTTTTAAATAAAGAAGTTAAGTAAACATTTAACTTATACATATGTTCAGAGAGAAATATTTGAGCATTTTAAAGGTCATTTTCTCCCAAGAAAATTCATGCAATTAGTAAATCTTTTTTGACCATCCTCTGTGTGCCGTTTTGATGGCTAGGAATACAGCAGGGAGTGCCACCATGCTCTAGCTCTTAGGCGCTGACATTTTAGTGGGAGCAGATGGGTGGGCAAGCAGACCAATAAGTACAGCACGTGTCGGAAAGTGTGGAGTACTGTGGAGAAAAATAAGTCAGGGATGGGGATTGAGGAGACCCGGGATGAGGGCAGCAAAGTGGAAGGATGGCTGCAGTATTTCAAGGCTGACCAGGGGAGGTGTACATTTGAATGCAAATCTCAAGGAAGCAAGGAAACCAGACCTGCAAATATCCAAGGGATGAGAAATCCAGGCCATGGACAGAGCAAGAGCACAGTTCCTGGGATGGGTGCCTGCCTGGTGCATTGAAGAAGCATGAGGAATCTGTGTGGCTGGAGGAGGGTAAGCAAGGGGGCTGGAAGGGAAGAAAGTTAGAGGGGCAGCAGTGTGGCCTGAGCACATGCAGCCTTCCCTAAAGTGCCAGGGAAGGTCATGGAGTGTTGGGAGCAGAAGAATGGGATAATCTCACTTCTGTTTCAGCAGAATCATTCTTGCTACCATGTGGAAAATAGACTGTCAGAGGGTAGGGGAGACCAGGCAAGAAATTATGGCAGCTTGGGCCAGAGCAGTAGCAAGTGGAAATGCTGAGAAATAGTTGAGTCCTGGGTGTGTTCTGAAGGTCAGATCTGACAGTGTTCGCTGATGGGTTTAATGTAGAGTGTATTGGAAAGAGAGGAGTCAAGGATACTCTAAGGGTTTTGGACTGAATTTTTAAAAGGATGGAGTTGTCGTTTACTGGGAAGAGGAAGACCAGGAGGAACAGGTTTGACATGGGAAGAGATCAGCATGCACCAAATTTGAAATGGAGTGTAGAAAAAGCCTACCTAACTTCCTAATAAAGGAAAGGACCTGCCAGCAGTCAGGAAACCTGAGCAGTCGTGTTATCTCAGCATTCATATCTGAAGCTATCAATCACCTAGAGGGTTTTGAGGAGTGTCCTGGGCACACACTCAGTAAATACTGCTGTCTAGAATATAATTTTACCTGCTAAATGTCATAGTGCCCGCAGTGCCTTATGGTGTCTCTTTGTATACAGTTTCATTATTTGTTTCTTCAAAAGCGGGGTTGATAAGCCACAGGAATCTTTTGAAATTAATATTGATTGAAGATGAATTCATTCCATTCTATGTTTCCAGTCCAGCTCCTGACACCCTTCTGAACTCCTCCATAGTGAAAACAAACCTGCATTTCATGTAGTCTCTACTTTAGTTAAACCTGTGCCCAGTTCACTTGTGTGAGCTGACACCGACACCAAAGGTTCCTAAGCCACTGTGAAAGCTGCTCAGGATGCCCTCAATATGTTTGTTTCAAAGGTTTTTCTTTAAAGTCCCCCTCTCCCAATTTTTTTATTTTGAAAACTTTTAAATATGCAGAAGAGGTGAAAGAATGATGCAATCAAGTCTCTTCTACCTTTGTGGGAAAGTCACAAGTTATTAACATTTTGCCTTATGTGCTTATGCTCTCCTCTCTCTCTCTTTCTCCCCCTTCTCCGTGCCCTCTCCCTCTCTTTTCCTTTTCCTCCTCCTGTCTGTCTTGCTCCCTGTCTCTTTCTTCATGATTTAATGGCAAGTTAACACACTGTAAAGAATAGGTCGTGAGTCTCCCCCCAGGTATTCCGCTGTGCTCGTGAGCCTTTACTAAGCCAAGTCAGAGCACCATTGCGAGAAGGGTGAAATTGACACCACTTCCCATCCCCAGGCCCCCAGCCTTGCCAATCTGATCGAGATTTCCTTTACAGGACAGGTCTATCTTAATTTACTGTTTAACTTTTGCCTCATGATCAACAGAATGAAACAAACTGCCCTGAGAATTAAGGAGCTGATACCAGGATGCAGTACCTAATTAATGGAAAATAAACTTCAGCTCAAAACTTTAAAACTAAGTTCAATAATCACATATTTCACAGCTGCATTCTTTTCTTACAGGTCAGACATCAGAAGTTCTTTGGCTGTGTACATCCTGTTCCTGGGTTTCCATTTCATGCTCTTATCTAGATTTGAATATGATGCCAATTGCAGACACTGTCCCTCTTGAGAGCTAAAAAACACACAGTTTATTATTTGGTTCAAAGCTGCTGCAGTTTTTCAGAGGGATTTATTGTGCAGATCTTGTCAAAGCAATACTGTTTACCCACCATTTGGATCCATGGGTACAACAGCACAGTGTATTTGGGGCTACAGGGCAAACATTGTGTTAGGTTAGGTAAGCCCAGTGATGTAAATATGGGGTAATTTGCAGAGCTTTTAGGAAAAAAAAAGTATTAATCCAATAGTGTTTGAAGCCTTGGCTTTTAAATAATTACTGTTTCACATTTGCAGATTTCAAAGGATTTTTGATCAGGATGCAAAGCAAGAGGCCATTTTTGAAAACATTGCCAAACCAGTTGCTGAGAGGTAGGATTTCCTATATTTTGTTCAGTGGCTTAGTGGTTTTTCATCACGCCTTCAATTCTCAGATAATTGTGGTAATATGCTTCAGTATATCAATTATATACTCAGGCTTCAGGGCTTGTGAAGAAATAGCATTAATAGCTTCTATTCATATAGCTTGTTTGCTTTAGATCTGGAGTCTCAACCTCAAAACAAACCAGTGAGATAGACAGAATAGCTCTTATTACTCCCATTAAAAAAAAAAAAAGTTCTTTAGTAGTCTCCATTTAATTGGTTTATTTGTTGTTAATAAATTGGCAACACAATGAGGGGCCCAGGGTGTGCTCCCAGGCAGGCTTCTGTGCTGGTGGGCTCAAATAGGAGATGCTGCCTTGAGGCGGGGGCACGGCAGGGCACAGACACCAGTGCCCCAAGGGATGAAAGGAAAAGGCCCCCCCACTTTTGGGGGAACCCTGTGGAATGAACATAGTGGCCAATGAACAAATAGAACCAGAGGAGCTAAAGGAAAACAAGAGGAGGGAGGGACAGACAGATGGGCAGGTTTGGGGGAAGGTAGCATTTTCTGGTATCCCCCCACCCCTGCCCAGGGGCTAAGAAGCCTTTGCCTGGGTCCAAAGGCCAGGGCAAACTTGGCTCACAGCTTCGGGGAGGGTCACCATATCTCCCTCCCCACTCTAGGACTGACAGCCAAGAGACTGGGCAGGAGCTCAGTCAGAGCTGTTTTTAAAAATCCGCTTACCACTGGGTGGGCCGACAGTAAATCTCAGGATTGGAGAGATTAAATGGCACTGCTCAGGGTTGGTGGCTAGTGGTGGCAGAGTCCTAGGTGGTGGTCTAACTGTTAAGTCTAGTGCTGTTTCTTTGGTACAGTATTTCAAACATATGGTTAGATGGATGGAGGACTGGGTACAGTGGTACCTGGGAGGCCTGATACTGGTCAACCCAAATCCACCTCAGTATAACAACCCTATTTAAAATCTTGACCCGTATTAGCTCAGGTCCCTTTTCTTTCTGTATACCCAAATAGGTCTGGGCTGCTGCCTACTAGAACCAAACTCAAGTGAGAATAAATCATCCTGAATCAGTTGGAGGGCCATTTTATCAATATGTATTGGCAAAGATTCCTTGGGATAGACTCTCAGCCCTTAGATAAGCATACTCTCATTTTGTAGGGAGTCTGTATGGGAAATTACTACTAATAAAGTTGCTGTCCAATCCTGCAGTCACTTGGTTGGTTTTAATGACTTCATTATCTCCAGATATATATCTCTCTACGATTAAAATGAACAATACATCTGCTAAATAAACCCATTTTTCAAGTCCACTGATCAGTACACCCTCAACCATGACATTGCTGAAAATATATTGACACCTAAGCCATGCCCTTCTCTCTTTTTTTCCTCAGTTTTACTGAGATATAATTGGCACATGACATTGTATAAGTTTAAGGTATATGTGTTGATACATTTATAAATTGCAAAATGATCATCACCATAGTATTAGCTGTCACATCCATCTCATCACATAGTTCCCATTTGGTTTTTTTTTGTGGTAGAACATTTAAGATCTCTCTTAGCAACACTCAAGTATATGGCACATATTATTATAAGTATTATTAGGTGCAGCCACCATGCTGTCCATTATTCACCTGAACTTGATAATCAAGCCCTTCTCTTTGTATACTGTCTTCTAGCGCAGAGGGTAAAATATAATTGAGTACTTAAACTATTCTAGTTGTAGTCACAATCCAATAGCATCCCTTTAGACTAAATTCAGGTCTCCTAGATTGGGTGTCACACATTTCTAAAATTCTCCTCTTTTTAGTAATGTTTTGGTGATGTCATTTTTCAGTTAGCTCATCTCGTGTTTTATTTTGAGGCTTCCTAAAATCATCTGGGGAGGGAATGTCAGTATGCGTTTCATGGATGTCTGCTTTTCCCTCCCATTGCTGATGACCTCTCCCATCTTACTCCCTCTTCCTCCTTCAGCTCCCTCCGTGCCCTCTGTCTGCAATTTTCTTCCTTCAGAAATCTGCAGAGTTGCTTCCTCAGCTCTTTTGAATTGTTTGCTCATGTAGCCCCTTTTCAGTAAGGGCTTCCTTTATTAGTACCTGACTTGAAATTGCATTCCCTTTCTGATTTTATTTTATTTGTTTTAGCACTTGTCACCATCTGACATACTCTATAGTTAACCTACTAGTTGTTTTGTTTGTCTACCTTCTGCTATAGCAAAAGCTCCATGAAGGCTGGAGATTTATTTGTTTTGTTCACTGACTTGACAAAGTTACCCAACTCTATGATGAAAAGATTTTAGAAATGACAGGCAGGAGCATTATTATCCAGGCTGCTCAAGTTTGTCCCAGTGGATCATAACTTTCAAAGGGAAACATTCCCCATTGTCCTTTTCAGTACTTTACTTCTTGTAGATCATTTTTCCTGAAACTGCTTTTGCTAATTTTTTTTCTGTTAGCTTTTATCTGGTTTATCTTTCTTGATCTCTTAACTCAACAGCCCTGAGCCATTTAATTTTTAAATATGGGTCTGGTGGATAAAACATAGCTGGCTTTTGTCTTTGTAGCCAGATGCAGAGTCCCTGATACTTAGTTGGCTTCTTTAACCTGTTTATATTTATTACAATTACTACAACAGTGTTTGGAGCTCTTCCTCCTCTCAACTTACTTCTTTCCATTTATCCTACTCTCTGTTTGTTTGGTTTTTTTCCTTTTTTGCTGTTTGTTGGTTGATTGTGTTCTTTGTTGTTGTTTTTGCCATTTTCTGTTTTCTCTAGCAAGGTGTACATTCTGCTTCAACACCTCTATGTGGTTTAAATTCAGGTATTTAAACTTCTTTGTATTTTTTTTTCAGCATCTAAACCTCCTCCCTCTTCCTGCTTGTCTGTCTCTCTTCTCCCCAGGTGGGGACCTTAGCACACTTTTACTTAGCCTCTTCTACTCCCCCAGCACTTTTAAGTATTGAGATCAACTGATCATTTCATTCTGGATTGTTTGTAATCATTTTCATTATCGGCATTTACTTAAACTTATCTCTAAGTTATGTTTGTTTCTTCAGTCATCACTATTTCTTATCCACATATCTGTTTCCTGGATTCCTTTTTAGTTTTGCTGGTAATCATCTTCTAGTAATTTTTTTAGAGCGAGTTCAAGACATGGGAGCATTCTGAAGCTCTTTATATCCCTTCCCAGTTAAGTAGCAGTTTGCCTGGGTATTGAATTGCAGGTTAACAATCCCTTCCTCTCATCACTGTGAAGCTATTGCTCCGTAGTCTTCTTCTGAAACTGTTGGCTCAGTCTTTCAGGGTGGTAATTTGCTTTCCAGCCTTGTATATTCTCTACCACCTACCTGTTGAATTTTTAATTTTTACAGTTTTATTTTTCACTTGTAGTAAGTGAAAAAAGTCTTCTTGTTTACTGATATAATACCCTTTTTCTTCTGAACAAAATGATTATCTTTTTGGAAACACTGGCTTTTTTTCCTATATACTTTTTCTTCATGTGAATGTTCTTCTGTTGAGTTTGGTGCCTGGCTTTCCTGGTACAGAGTTCCCTCAGATAGTTGGTGATTCTCGGTGGTGGGCTCACCTCTGTCATTTGAGAATGCCATTTCTATTCACTGTGCCTCCCCTCATGTCTGTGGGGAAGGAATGGTGTGGGCTGTGCACAGGTTATGCCCTGAACTCATCTGCTGGGTGTGAGAAGGCTCTTTCCTCCTGGGGGTTGCTCATCACCAGGGGCTCTGGTCACTGTCTCTAAGCCAGGCTCCTACTCTGTAGGAAAGTGGATAGGCAGATGGAGGCAGACTCACATTTCTCTCTGATTCATCTGCAAAGGAGAGGGTTATTAAGCAAATTAACACTACCTTAAGAGCCAGAGGAATCACCATTTTCATTGCCTTTAAATATGTCATATAGTACATTAACACTTTGTGTAAACTTGAAGTGTGTGACTTTGAAATGGTAAAATATAAAATATCAATAAAGGCTCACTAATACACAGCATTTGAAGTAATATTTATCCCCATATGTTGAAAAAAATTTTTTAAGAATTATATAATTTGGCAGGCGTGGTGAATGGAAACTGTGCCGCTTTAGATATTAAACAGAAATGCCTGCTATTCCTGGTGAAGATTTGTCTCCAGGAACATATTCCCAACATAAATCCAGCTACTCAGCACACTCTTTAATGCTGTTCTATTGGGTTAACCCACTGTAGCTTAACTCTGTTTACTGAGTACAATTAAAGCTAAATAAAATTAATTGTATTTCTTCCCCAAATTCTGTAATTCAGGAATCTTACAAATTTAGGCTCACCTTTTCCTACTTAATTCAAATCAGTTTTATGACTCCATGACTGCAGAATTGTGTGACTGGTGATGCGAATCTATAAAGCTAAAAATTTGTATCATTGAAAATTAAATAGAAGAGTCTTATTTATCGTTTGGTACATCTCCACTAGGACCTCTTCTAAACTTTGATTTTTCTGAAATATAGCCTATGTTATTTAGTAACAGGTAAAAACTGCCCTCTATCATATTAATTTTGCTCGTTGATTTTGGAATAACTTTTTGTAAAGATAGAATTTAGTAGGTCCACAAATATGCGTGGTGTACAGTGTTGCCCCATATAAAAGACTTTGTATCTTTATTTGTTGTTTCACCTAGTGTTACACTTCTCAAGCTGGAGTGTATTGATCTTGGGAGTACATAGTACTCTGTCAGGGATACCTGAAGCCACATGCTAAACACAGCACATCATTCTGGAGTATGAATTTTGCTTAAAGATTAAGGGAGAAAATTTTGAAGTCTAGACATTTTGGCGGTTTTATCACATGCACTTGTAAATCTGCAGAACCCCTGTTCTCCAGCCAATCTTATGTTTTACCTAAAAGCTTGGGGTGTAGGAAATTTTATTTTAGGTACAGTGAGTAGTTTTGGGAAAAATCTGTAAATTTAGTGTTATAGGAGAACATGGTTTGAGCAAAATGAATA